GCGAGGTTGTTTAGACTGCTGTGTTTTATTTGGCTGATAGAGGATGAGTTTGTTTATGTTGCCAAGATAAAAGAATATACGCTTACATCTGCAGATTGTCTTAAATATGAATAAAAATGCATGATCACCAAATAATTGTGCTTTTTTGGGGAGTGGGTTATGTCATTAAATTGTTGTATTTTAATACTGCTTCTGCTTGTGTAGAATGTTGTGGGTGGATATATTCCATTATGAACTGGTCTTCTGTCCCATGAAGGCCTTAAGTGTCGTAGTTTTATTTCATTCTGTGTTTTAAAATTTGCTGTAAAACGTAGCTTTTAAAAGTCCTTGTGGCTGTGTGGTTGTCCCTTTCCCTTAAGCAACTATGTTTGGCGCAACTGAAGATGATGATATGGTGGCTCCTATTACACACGTGTCAGTCACGCTTGATGGGATCCCCGAGGTGGTGGAAGTTCACCAAGCCCCAGACCCTTACGCTGAATCACCAGAGACTCCAGAATTTGAACAACCAAAGAAGAAAAAAGGTAAGATGCTACTGGAGAACGGTGGTGTGGTGTAGGAGGGCAGTGGGTGGCATGCTCGCCTCCCCTGTGGGTGTCTGGAACTATTCTGGGCGTCAGGTCAAAATAACTGAGTGGGCTTAGCTAGAAATACAGAGAAAGCGTTTTCTTACTGGGTAGTGTGAGCACAGATAGTGGTGCTTAGATACTAATGATGCTGGAGAGGTAGCAATGATGGCTTATTCCACAGGAAACATGGATCTCTGCTTGTTCCTATTTATAGTTTCTTCTTCAGAGCAGAATTGCAATACAACCTATAGAGCTTTTGTTACCGTGAATGTTGAAGTACTTTAATTAGCTCCTATTTACCTTCAAATAAAGATACTTGGTCCGTTCAGAATATGGGATGAGAATGTTTGGGTTTTTTTTCGCTTTTCTTGAATATGAACGGTTTAAATCTTCTTTTTTTTCTAAATAGCTGCATGCTATAGTAAATATTAGTCCCATTTGCGGTATAAAAAATTTACACAGTGTCCATTGAGTGATGTTCCATTGGAGTCAGTGCCATGCTAAAGAATAGTGAAGTTATGTGGTGTTAGTCAGAGCTTCTGCTCCTGTTTTCCCACCCTGCTTGAGCATGGACCCTATCAGAGGTCCTGAAGCTGATGTCTACAGTAGAAGAGAGTCATGGAGTGCAGGCAGATGTAAGGTGCTGTTGCAATGAATTAAAAAAAAAAAAAAAGAAGAATAAAACGAGAGTTATGTTTCTGGAACTAATTCTAGGGCTGAACCAGTGCATTAGGACTTGGGACAGGTTCCCCTGTGGAAAAAAAGCCTTCCAGAACAGGACTCCT